TGTCTTCTAGAATTCTGATAATATTCCTCAATTCTATGGTCTTCCCAATTGTATCCTAAAATACAGTACAAGAAAGCGTAAGGTATATTATTGAAAATTGTGTAAAACTTAAGTTACCATCTTCAGTGAACCCTAGATCCATGCCTGATTTATTCACCTCTGTGGTAATATTTTGTTTATGATCTAACAAAGTTTGCCTGAAGATCAGAGCACAAAGCTAGACACAGTCATAGAGGCCAGTCAGTGGTGCTACACACCATTATTATCAATAGCCATATTAGTTAGCCAAAGAGGCCAGGCAGTGGTGGTACACACCTTTAATCCCAGTACTTGGGAGACAGAGCAGATAGATCTCTGATAGTTCAAGCCCACCCTGAGCTACACAAAACCGATCCAGTCAAAAAGGGAAACAGAGCTCATAAAAGATGATCTCAGCACTTGGGATCCCATGCCTTTAATCCCAGCACTAGAGATGAATATAAAGGGGGAGGAGACAGGAGCTCAATGCAGTCTGCAGTCATTCTGAGGACAGGACTGTCCATTCGGTCTGACTTTTGATAGCTAGCTACTTCTCTGATCTTCACCTTTAACCCCAATATGTCTCTGGATTTTTATTAAGAACAATTAGAATTCCTGTTACATACCTCATTCGTCCTCTTCCTCAATCAAATTACAGAAGAACATTAATAACCAAGGAACAGTTGTCCCCTTATTTGAAAACATAAAGGAAAATTCAGTCTTACCTATAGTAGCGAGATTCCTGTAGGTCTCCAGCATCACATCTTTGTAGAGATTTTTCTGGGAAGGATCCAGCAAAGCCCATTCTTTCCAAGTGAAGTCGATATGTAAATCATCATAGGTCACTGTATTCTAAAATAGCCCACACATGTAAACAACAAAAACTGTGATACTGACAACATTTTAAATGTATAATTCTTTGACAACATAGTCATATAATTCTGGTGCTCCCCATAATTATTCTATGACAAGGGTATTATAATGTGTTTACCAAGTTAGTTTAGAAGGAAACTGAATAGGAGGTTCACCTCTGACATTTCTGTACTGTTTGAATGGGCTATCACCTTGCAAGAAAAATGACTATAAACAAACATAAAGAGACAAGTAAACAATCAACAGTACAAAGTACATATTAGAGAAATTATTTAAACAATTACTAACTACAAAAACCGAAAAATAATATGGGCAATCTGGGCATATTGACTCATGCCTTTTAACCCCAGGACTCAGAAGGCAGAGGCAGGTTTATCTGCCCCTGAGTTGTATGCCAACCTAGTCTATGCATCAGTTCAGAAGTACATATTAAGACCTGGACTCCTGGGTAAAAATCATTCAAAGAAACAAAAAAGATAGATCGCAGAGCCCACATTTATTTGTTTGTTTATGCTAAAATTCTTACAAAGTGTTAAGGATTCTGATCCATGTCATCCGTGAAGAAATTGCATTTATAAATAAATAAATATTTATTTACTATGTATACGATATTCTTTCTGTGTGTATGCCTGCAGGCCAGAAGAGGGCACCAGACCTCATTACAGATGGTTGTGAGCCACCATGTGGTTGCTGGGAATTGAACTCAGGACCTTTGGAAGAGCAGGCAATGCTCTTAACCTCTGAGCCATCTCTCCAGCCCCTACTTCAATGATTTTCATATTCTGCAACAGCCCCTACACTGTTGAAAATGTCCAAAGTATCTTCCAACACTCAAGGCAATCTCTTGTCTGTGAGATTTTGTAAAATCAGAAAAAAGTTACATCTTTCCAATATACAACAATGGCACAGAATATCCATTTGCACGCCAAAAGAGAGGAATGGGAACATAGTGAAGGCCAGACTGAAGCACAACAGGACAGAACATCAAATCCTACAGCTCTGTCTCAGATGCATGGGGCTTCAGTTTCCAAGGGCGTAGATAGCCCTATCCCTGAAACTTCTCATACATCTCTCTGTGTGTACTGCTATTCCATATAACAGCTCCTCTGCAAGGCACTGCATATACATTAAGGTTGTGAAGCTTGGTGTATCTTGTGGTCTTCTAACATGGGAAAGGGGAGGGTGTGTCTGACTCTTTTGTCTGCTCTAGGACCCTCTTCTCCTCTGTCAAGGCTTCATAGGGGTTTGGTGTGGAATTCCCCTCTGTATGCTATGAATATGAATTATTACCATTGGTTAATAAAGAAGTTGCTTTGGCCTATGGCAGGGCAGAATATAGCAAGGTGGGAATTCCAAGGAGAGATAGAGGAGGAAAGGAGGAGTCGAAGTGATATCATGTAATTGTTTAAGAAAAAGAATGCTAGAACCTTACTGGTAAGTCACAGCCTCGTAGCGATATACAGATTAATAGAAATGTGTTAATTTAGGATATAAGAGCTGGTTAGGAATACATCTAAGCTATTGGCCAATGTTGTAATCAACATAGTTTTTGAGTGATTATTTGGATCTGGGAGGTCAAGAAATGAATAAGTAGTCTCCATTTACAGGGGTTTATGCCTAGTCTTGCTGTAATTTGTTATACCATGTTTGGTTGATATTCTTATGATATCTGCTCTGTTATGAAGGGATATGGAGGAGGAGTAGATCTGGGGGACAGGGGAGTGGAGAGGGCACTGGAAGGAGTAGAGGGAGGGGAACTGTAATCAGTTTGTATGAGAAGTTGTGTGCCTATTCCGCCCATAAAATGAAGGCTTAGGTACCCTTGAGGTACCTTAATAGGCTTCCAAAGCAGAGCAAGGGCCTTCTCTTCAATGGTGCTAAATACCTTGAAATTTCCTATATCAATTTGTATTGCATGAGAGAGGAATAAACTTTTTTTAAAAAAAAATAAAGGAATGTGGATAAGTGAGGGAGGATTGAACTCAGCAGGGCAACTACCAAATCCTGTAACTCCGTCACAGACAGGTGGAGTTTCATTCTCAAAGGGCTTAGATAGCTCTGTCTCTGAAAATGTTCACACCTGTGTCTGCTTTTCTACTTCCACACCTGCATGCAACTCTCCATGGCGGATGTCTTATTGCTTGGGTATCTCAACATCCTATAATCTCAAAATACAACACAGACTTAATTTTCAGAGAATTATACAATGAATTCTTAGTCTTCTCACTGGGTTTCTGACTTTGCCAAAGATGTGTACAACAGTGCTGAACTGGAACCACAGAGGAAGAATCCATGACCTTTAAAATTTGCATCTTTCTTGTTTCCATAACTAGTACATTGCTGAGCCACCAAATTTGGTTTCCAAGTTGTGATGGGCCCTACAATAATTGGACCAGAGTTGCAGCAGATTCTGTATGAAGTTGCTTCTTGGGACGAGGAATCACTTTGTATATTCCTCCCATAAATTGAAAGTTTAACTAGATGGGATCTGACCCTTAGGGTACCTTCCTTGGCTTCCAATGCAGAGCAAGGGCCTTCTCTTCAATGGTGCTAAACACCTTGAAATTTCCTACCTCTGTTTCACTACTGGACTGTCATCTCAAAGTACCTAGTGCTGTTTTTCTCTACAAAACACGGACTTTTCATTTCTTTCTACCCCACTTGTTTTTCATTATAGACCTAAATGAGTTATATTAGTAATAACTATTCAACATAATTAATACTTCATCTAAGAAATCAGCCCAGTTAGTTTTTAATTCTTCCTTACTCAATCTCTCAGGGAATAGAGAAAATAAGAACAACGTTGGCACAAAATATTATACGAATGACCACTAGCTAAATTTTCCATGAAGTCTATTTTCCACTGAAAACTTACTGCCTGCATTACTCAAAACACTCCCAAGTTTCAAGTCCTACAAGAACAGATGATTAAGCTCTGTGTGAAGCTTTCTATGTTTTTTGCCATCTAAAGTCTTGATCTATTCAACATTCTTCAAAAGTCAACATTCCCAGGTTGGTTGCAATAAGAAAATCACCTTTGATGCACCAATTTTTTTTTTTCTAACTTGCTTATTTCTTGCAGTGATTAAATTCTCTGACCAAAAGAGTCTCAGGTAAACAACAGGTTTATTTGGCTGATTCTGCCAGATCACAATCTACCATTGTGGGAGCTTAGAATGGAAAATCAAGCTCATGGCTGAAGGCAAAAAACATGGGCTAACTTTGCTAACATTTTTCTTGTTTAGTCACTTGTCTCATTCTCAACTACCCCTTTTATTCATCTCAGGCCCTCTTGTTTAGAGTATTGCAATCTCAGTGGAAGAGCTACCCACAGCACTCATCAATCAACACAATGTCTAACAGAGAGCAACCAGCCATTCTGATGGGGAATGACTTCAATTGATGTTACTTCAGATGATGTCTTTACTGACACATAAAGCTAATTAATATGAGGAGACAATAACATGAGTTGGTTTTAAAAACCCAAAACCAGGGCTGGAGAGATGGCTCAGCAGTTAAGAGCATTGCCTGCTCTTCCAAAGGTCCTGAGTTCAATTCCCAGCAGCCATATGGTGGCTCACAACCATCTGTAATGAGGCCTGCAGGAAGAATACTGTATACATAATAAACAAATAATAAATATTCAAAAAAACCAAAACCAATGCATTAACCATAGCAATTATTTAAGCAGCAAATACCCAAACATAGAAGAGCAACAACAAGAAATGAGGAAAGGCAAGCCTCTAAGATCAAGAAAACTAAAACTATCTCTCCACAGAAAGTTCCCAAACTAACAAAAACTCAAGGAACTCAAAATATAATGTAGCAAATTTTCTGAATACAAAAGCTGGTGAAGGCCCATCATTTTCCAGAGAAACAACAATATGATTAGATGATAACTAATAAAATCAGCAACATAGATGGCACTACAAACAAAAACACAAAGCTACACCTGCAAATACATACCATGGTCCTTTAACCAATAACTGCAAGATTCTAATTAAAATTCAAATCCAAGAAATCACTGGCTAGCACTCATCTTGTGAACTCCAGTTCTCTCCTTTGCTAATAGTAGAAAATGGGTTGTTCAAAGAGGGATATTCAACCAAAACTAGAAAAATTCAATCGAAGTCGTCTGAAGTTTTAACTTTGTAGAAAACAGATTTGTGTACTAAAAGGACCTCATTTTCTTAAGGTAAAGAAAAGGATATTTGTTAGGATCACTTGAAAACCCTTTTGTTTCCCAAGACAGATGAATGGATGTAAGTCTGTATCAGATAAGGAAATGGAAAGTCTTCCAAACCAAAAGCACGATAACAGATTTTTAAAGAAACAGTGTATGATTTGTATTGTATATCCAATGCAACTTGTTTTTTTCTAATTGTTTTGTAAGTCACAAGAAATTTTGAAAATGAATTTATCCCCATTTTTTGTGTCTGTTTGTATATGAGAGACCAATTTTTCATGTGCCTGCAGGTAACCACTAAAGAGAGGGTGTCCGATCCCCTGGATTTGGAGTAGCAGGTGGTTATAAGCCTCCCAACTTAGGTGTTGGGATATGAACTCAGGTCATCCCCAAGAAGAATTTTTGCTGAGCAACCTGCTCAGCACCATAGTATTTTTATCCAATAACTAAATGTCTTTCATAAATTAACAACAATAAAAAACCTAAATAAATAAAGAAGTAAATTAATGGCCCTTGGAAATACATTGTAACAATATTAATATGTTGTCTATGGTAAATTTGCAGCATGAATTGTATATGATCCAAGGAAGATTCCCAACAATTTACAACAGGAAAGCTGATTACAAAGCTACATGCAAAGTGGAAACACAAAGAATCCTCAATGAAAAATACTACACACATTGACACAATGTGACTTCTATACTTACAACAAAGTTACAACAATTAAGAATGTGTACAATATTTGTGAAAGACTAAAAGGATGGTGAGAAAAAAACAAGCAGAAAGATATGGTCAACTTTTAATCAAAAGACTAAAGGAAGCTCAGCCAGAAAAAGTGTGATGTTGACCAATGTTATCCAACTACCTACAATTCTATGCATATAAAAACTAAATAAACAGACTTTATAACACCTACCAAATTAACTCAAAATTAAATTTGTTATGTTTCTGACCCTCCAGCTACAGATATTTCTTCCAAAGAGAAGCCCATGTTCTAGAGCCCACTCTACAAATGGAGGTAATCTCCTGCTATGGCTCTGAAAACTCTCATGCCCCTTGAGGTTTCAGATAAACTCAGTCTCAAAGATGCCCTACACACTAAACAATGTCAAAGAATAATCTAATGTCTATTTCCTGCAACACAGATTATGGTACAAGTTGTGGAATCTATTTTATCCACCCAACTAACACCAAGCATAACAGAAAAATCTCTGCAGCTCAGAAACTCCTTTTCTCCCCTTCCTAGACGCAGACAGGGCCATGGTCTAGGAAATTTGTAATTTAGTAGAAATTCTTCCAGTCTTGTACACCTTCCATTACACACTCAATGTCCAGTGCAGCCAAACACAAGTCACCCTCTAACAGTAACTGTTGTTACTGTGTAACTAATTGTTAAAGCAAAAAGAGGCCATGAGTTAGAAAACAATGAGGGTCATGGTAGGGCTTAGAGGCAGGAAAGAAACTATATATGATGTAGTTATAATCTCAAAGAATTATTTTGAAAAGTTGAAACAGGCTTTATGACCATGTTCTCCAGAGACTAGGGATTTGAAAGAGAGCACATGATGGGTTACTCAACCTTTGCTCCCAGGATGTGCATCTCAAATCATAGCCACATAATTTAGCCAGATCTTCTAGTCTACTTGAACAAGTGTAACTATAGTAATTTGACAGGGTCAGATTTTATCCTGATTCTTGATTGCCCTCATCTGTGAACACCAGTAAATGGTCAGTCAGGATATTTGTTGATTATCTAAACCTGACTACCTGATCCACATTGCTAACCTCAACTACTGCAAAGCAGGAAAGCTTTCAACCTCCATCCTATCCCTCCCTTTCTGCACTGTGACTACATCAGCTTCAAAGTTGGTCATTGAACTCAATTCTTGAACAGGTCACTCTTCATTTTCCCAAATAAAAGCCAGAGATGTTGCAGGACACTCATTAACTGGTCTATGTTTCTTTCTTACTTACCAGTCAAGGCCCAGCCTGGAAGGAGCTGCAGAACTGTCTTCCCAGCACTGGACAGCAGAGGAAGGAGTAAGTATTCAAGTCAATTATCAACTTGACAGTGTGGTGCAAGCCTGGGATTGAGAAGGCATTGCTCTAAACAGAAATAAATCAATAGTACTTGAGAAAATGAAATGAAATTCCTAACGACTGAGAAACACTGGAGAACAGAAACAAATAGAGATTAGCACAGTAATGCAATTAAAAAAATGAAATTTTCAAACATGATACCAGTAATTGGCATTTTTAAATGGTGAAAATGATTTATTTTTAAGATAAAAAACTTAGCTATATTGACTTAGAAAAAGAGTAGTCCTTTGCCTAGTAGAGGGAATGCCATTAATAAGAGACTGATAGATGTTGGCTGCTGAAATCTGTAACCTGACAGAGTAACAGTCAAAGTTCTGTTTATCAATCTTTGTGTCAAGCAGGACTGAACATATTTGCAGAGAAAAGTTCCCTAGGGCTGGAGAGATGGCTCAGAGGGTAAGAGCAATGGCTGCTCTTCCAGAGGTTCCGAGTTCAATTCCCAGCAAGCACATGGTGGCTCACAACCATCTGTAATGAGACCTGGTGCCTTCCTTGCCAGCAGTACATTGTATGCTTAAGAAAGAAAGAAAGAAAGAAAGAAAGAAAGAAAGAAAGAAAGAAAGAAAAGTTCCCTAATTGGAAGATCTTTATATTTGGCTCAAGCTAACCTTCTCAATGTGGAAAAACTACCAATTTGGTCTGCCTTCATTCACAGGACGTGAATTAATACACGCTTGGAAATTACAAAACTACTCCCCCTGCCACAATCAAGTCCTTTTTCATAATTGTGACTCCAGCAGCTAATTGTTGACCTTGTTTCCCCTCTGCAGTGTACACCATGAACTATTTTCCCTATTCTAGTGTGAAGGCAGAAGCCATGCTCCTCATGGAAATCTTTTCCTGTGACTGCAATAGGTAGTTAATAATTTAAAAATTTGAAAATTCCAAGGTAGTACAGTCATTTAAGAATTTAGGAAGTGTACTATAGAGGATAGCAAGGTCAATGACCTGGAGAGCAACAGACTGGGATCAAGGCTACTGGAGTCAACAACATAGGAGAGCTTGTTTCAGAAATATTTTTCTAAAAGGCTGGAAGTGCAGATGTTCTAGAATTAATATGCCTTCCCAAGAAGAAATCACTCTACACACTTAAGAGTTTAATAAAGAAAACTGCTTTAGTACTAGTATGCTTCTTCACCTTACTCTAATGCTCAAAGAGGAGCCAGCTTAGAACAGACTTTGCATTACAAACTTCCTGTCATTCTTATTTTAGGTTCAGGCACCAGGTTACACTTTGAACAATTTAAATAGGGACAGGAACTTAGCACATGGAAGATTTACACAGCAAAGATATTCCCAGAATTATTTCTTAAGTATAACAGTGACATAAAATAACAGGTTATTCTCCAGTGACAGGGTCCTGAGGTGGAGGTGCCAGAAATGAGAAAGATAGGAAATGGAGAAGGTAGAAAAGATAAAGGCTGGGGTGAAATGGTCCTGTACAAGCTATGCCTCTTACCAAGTAAGCTTCTTAAAAAGAATAATATCGTGTATACTACTTCTAGGGGGGAATGGAAAGAAATGGGAGATTTTTATGAAGTCAGCAGAAACTGTCATGAGCTATTGTGGGCCAGGATGCAAATGCAGCAGATAGCAATTGATAATTCTGATGTCAACCCACCAGATGAATAATTCTCTGATGGAGGAGAACCTTGTTCAAGCAAGGCTTATGGAACTACTGACTCTGGAAACTGTTGTTTCTCTGTAATTCCACATGTGCAGAAACAACTGTGGTATCTCCCCAATATCTGCACTATAATGTGTATCTCATATGATATGTATATGTAATCTCATGATTATATCTCAATCTTGTGAACACATATATCCATGGATAGTCAGGAAGATGACTTCTCATTAACCTGTATAATTTTGAAGAACAGAAATATGCTAGGATATGCTTCATAACTGGTCTATTGTCCCATAAGGTCTGGTTTTTTTTTCACTCAGAATAACATAAGAAAATAACAATTTCCCCCAGTCTAAGACAGGCTACACACATTTAGCTGATCTGAAACCTCAGAGCAATTTCAAACTAGACTGAGTGGGTTTGTATACACATCGTAATTTAAAACATGAAAAAGGACAGTCGTAGATGTCTAACCAAGGCTATTAATACAAAGCAATCTAAAGTACTATGACAATTCTTTGCTTACTAAAAGTCTAGCTGATAAAGATCACAATCACTCCCTGTATGAATTCCTCAGCAGGGTGTCTCACAAGGCAATGTGGCCCCAGGTTCAGGATGGGAAACTAGGGACCTTGAGCTCAGGCACTGCCATGGTTACTCACTCCCCTCAGTTTTTGTAATTTTTTTTATTGCAGAAAGTTTGTTGTTGAAATAAGCTGTGGAGAATTGGAGCAGAATGGAATAAAGAGAACAAGGAGAATAAAACAATGAAGAGAACTAGAGCTGAAGAAGAATAAAAGGGAATGATCCTCAGATTGTATGAATCTTCTTAAATAGGAAATCGTTTTAAGCCCTGCTACTCTAAAAAGTATTTTCTTAGTGACCCTGGGTGCAGCCCTGAGAGCTGAACTCTCCCAGGCTGCAAAAGAAACTACCATACAATGGGACAAATTCAGGGAGGTCTAATAAAATAATGCCGTAAAAGGGGAACACAGTGTATCTTAAGAACATTACTGACCAAGCCCACAGAGGCCTTGGGACTGAGAACCATAGCTCCACGTGATGGGAAGAGTTGGATTCTCAGGATCTGAATCAACCCCTCCCACAAAGCCCTGGCCCCAGATCATTACCAGTGAGAAAGCTTGGGGGGGGGGGCGGTAGATCAGAGCCAAGACAGGCTCTCCTAGTAGCCCTAATAGAGATCAGGCCTTAGTTTCGGTTCACTAAAATGGGACAGAGCTAAACAGACAGTCATCAGAAAAACCACAATTTAGGAGCAGGCATCCCAGTCTTCTGCTAGCTCAGCAGTCACCCCATGGCCCCTTCTGCTGGCTCAGCACATGACCCCCAGTCTCCTGATAACTAAAGATAGCTTTCCCTACCCTGCTGCTAGAAGGTCCCTAAGCACTAGGACCTCCCTCTAACCAATCAGACCCCAGACTAATCTTTCCTCCACCAATCAGTCACAGATTAGTCTCTCCTCCCTGAAATTTCCCAAACTCTGCTTAAAGGAGCTTGTGACCTTTTTTAGTGGCCGCCAAGTGCTACATTGGAACCAATAAAGCACTCTTGTTATCACATACATGGCTGTTGGTCTTTTCTTGGAGGCTTCTCTCAGACCCTAACAATTGGTGCATTGTCCACAAAGTTCCCCAGAAAACCCCACCATGATAAGCATCTGATAACCTGGCTGGCTGGTAAGTGAAGTGAGCCCTCTGTGTCTGGGTCTGTTCTGTCCCTTGTTCTGTGGTTTGTGGTTTGTTTTTTTTTTCCCCATCTGGGTGGCTCAAACTAACTGAATCTGTAGGCTGGGGTTTTGACTGATGGATGCATTAGAGGCCACGTGGGCTGGGAGATGTCCTGGGCCCACCTAGATGGGACAGAGGGTCCCTTTGGTTGAACAGGGAACACAGGTCACACCTGTTGCAAAACGGAACTCCCCAGGGAGACATGCCATCAGCCTACTTTGGTTCCTGGTTTCTTTCTTAAGTGCTGTGCTGATATATTTCTGTCAGTGTTATTTTTGTGTTTTCCTGTTGTTTGTAATGTTACCTCATTTACTTCTCTTAGGAGTGGATCAGTCAAACTCAACTTCTTCCCTGGAGTCTTATTTTGGACCGCTCCAAGGACTTTCAAACCCAAGTCAGTGACTTAGGGCTCATTATCTGGAGGGGGTGAAAGCATTCTTGATAAGGACATGGCAGGACTTTGGGTGCCTAACAGAGAACCAATGGCTGATCACTGTGGTGGCTGGGGAAGCTGATTATCATTGGTTAGGGTGAAAAAGAAAACCCTACTGCTAGTCTTAGATGTTTCTCATGGTACAAGTTTTACTGTGATGATGCAAATTTAGAGTTATTTCTGCTTTGGTATATGTATGATTCTGTTCTTTTTTTTTTTTGTGGTTTTTCGAGACAGGGTTTCTCTGTGGTTTTTGGAGGCTGTCCCGGAACTAGCTCTTGTAGACCAGGCTGGTCTTGAACTCACAGAGATCCGCCTGCCTCTGCCTCCCGAGTGCTGTTCTTGTTTAAATATTAAAGGCATACAATATTCTAGACTACTAAAGGAAACCACAAGAAGAACTTTGATAAAAAGTTTTCATGTCTAGAAAGTAAGAGAAAAGGCAAGAGACTAAAATAATAAGGAGAAGAGAAATAAAAGATAAGGCTGTCTGAACAGAGATAGGAACCTGAGGATGTATAGTAAGTTGTAAAAGGCCAGAGGAGGTATGAGATTTGGCCATGTTATGTTAATTCTCGTTCATTTTATTTAAAAAAAAAGCTGATGATTCACTACAAAATGTTTGTGTTAGGAATGGGGTCATTCTCTTTAAAGGAGAGAGGGGGACAGACCACTGCCTACCACGCCCCTGTACCCTTTCTTTCTCCAGGCAACAGGGAGAAAGGGTGCTTTTCTATCCCACTACTTTACCCCCAGGTACCCCAGGATGAGAGGTATGGGAAGGCAGAGGGGGTGGGATGGAGGAGCTCCCCACATACACACCCATTCTCAAAAGGAGGAGTGACCAGCTGGGGAGAATTCCGTGGCCCTTCCATTGCATGCTGTGGACCAACCTGATGCTGGGGACAGGCAACATCTAGTCACCAGCCCTTGGTCACCAGCAACCTTTATAACTGGAAATTATAAAATCTTAAGTTTTCTGAGAAGCCAGCAAGGCTCACTGAACCTGTTGTATTCAGTTCTTTTCACTCACCAACCAACTTGGGATGATTGTTTTCAACTGCTCCAAGTCCTCTTCACTACTGAGGAGAGAGACAGGATTAGAACAGAAGCTTAGAAATTGGTTCTAGGCCCAGATGGAAGACTGGCCACCAAATCAGATCTCATAAATGTTGGGTTTTCTGTGATATGACTCAGT